GCGTATCACACCTGCCGGCACTTGTCCTTAGGTACAGAGTGGGAATGCCGCTGTTACAGCAGCCAATTCCGCGTGCTGCCCTGTACTGCACAGATCTTGTGCCGAGGGTGACCAGATGTCCCGATTTTACAGGGACAGTCCCGAGTTTTGGGTCTTTTTCTTATATAGGCTCCTATTACCCCCTGCCCCCGTCCCGATTTTTCACACTTGGTGTCTGGTCACCCTACCTGTGCCTGAGGTCCCTTTTTGGTGATAGGACGACCCATTGACATATGCTCTCAGCCCCTCAGGGTGCAGCCCTTCAGAATTTACCAGACAAAGGATACTTGAAGGGAGTATGAGCAGCGTACTGTTTTATGCGTCCCAACCCCCATCTAAAATGTGTCGAGGCCAGCAAACAGGAAATAAGTTTTTCAACTCCGTTCAGTATCCTGGATGCATACGCAATAGGGTTTTCTCTGCCCTGACAGTCCTGCATCCACGTAGCTGAAATGGCTGTGTCCCTGGTTGATACAAACAATCCAAAAAGTTTTCTCTAATCTGGGGTGCCAAGACCTGGCGCTTGTGTTAAAGCCTCTTTTAATGTGAGGTTTTTTTTACCCACGAAAGCTTATGCCCAAATAAATCTGTTAGTCTTTAAGGTGCCACCGGACTCCTTGTTGTTTTTGTTGATACGGACTAACACGGCGACCCCCTTTTAATGTATACGCTGCTGGGGGCGGGGCCATTCCTACTCGACCTTTTATTGCAGGAGCTGGTAGAGACGTGCAGCGATTGCCTAGGCAGGGATGAAATCCTGACAAAAGCCCGTCACACCCAGCTGAACCAGGGAGGGGCAGCTCCAAAATCACTTCACCCTTTTGTCTGTCTGCAGCTTGCTGGCTGGGTTGCAGGGATAGACCCAGGAAGGAAACCTCCTGCAAACAGGGTTTCCAATACTTTTAAAGGGCTTCCTGTCAGCAGTGTGGCCCAGAATATCATCTCCATATTGCACAATATTTTCTGAACAGGTTTAACCTTAAACCACTAGCCGGATTTGTTTTCAATCGAGGGCATTTCAATCTATTAGTCAATTACTTAGTTTTAATACAATTCTTCTTCTTCCTTTACACCACACCACCGTGTAGCGTTTCACTCCCTAATAACATTGAATTTACGCCACAATTCATCATAATGTTTGGAAAAGATTTATACCGGTTAAGGACCATTTCTGAAATGCATGGAGCTTTTTTGGTGCTGGGTTGGTTTCTGCTTCCGAAGCACACAGCCACCGGAAAAAGAAGATTTGAATTAAGTAGCATGTTTTGGTCACCTTTCTTTTACCCCTTTTACATGTACATTGCACAGTCCAGGGGGAAATGCACATTCCTTCCAGCGTTCAACTCCCATTTTTCTTTGCTATCACATTATATTAGCTACATCAATTTTCACAGGACGTGCAACTTTATTTTGTGCTTGCAGAGTTTCCACGGACCCGTATCAAAGTGACTGTCTGATTGCTCAGGGCCACCTTAAGGCTCCGTGTTCCTAACATTGCTTCTGTTGTGTAGCTCACCCCTGCCCTTGCTCCCGAGGGGCGCTGGCTTTGTCATTTTTCATTCTTCTCCTGGACGACTGCCACAGCTACAATCACGTCCTCTGGTCCTTAGTTAGAAAGACGTTGAACTGTATAAAAGCAAAGGTTTACATGCTAAATAACGAACCCTGCAAACACTGGCTTAACCTGTGCTTGGCAAAAGTGTCTGTCAGTTCTGTAGCTTTGAATGAAAGATTTGGATAGATTTTAGTGGATTTTTTTTAAAGCCAATTTATTTCACACAGACATTTTACCTTTTCTTTTTAAATAGCTGGGGGGTTCTAAAATTAAACCCTGCGGCTCCTCGCTGGGCTGGAAACAGTTTATTATAAGAGACCAAAGAAATATTTTTAACTTGCTTGGCTTCGCCTGGCCAGCGGAGCCTCTGAACCTTTCTCTTTTCTAAAAATGGTTTGATGCTCCTGATGTTTTCCCTTTGTAAATTGCGAGTTAGGAGCTGAGGACACACTGAAGTTGCTCATGTTTCTAACCTGACATTTTATTTTGATATTTAAGCTTCAAATACGTTTTTATGCCGGTGCGAGAACTGTTCTGGCCTGGTGCTGGTAACTGCTGTATCCTAGCAATGTTTGGTTTTACTGCTGTTTTTCCTCCCTTGTCTGTCTCAGTTATCGGAGACGTCCGTGAGCTGATTGTTACACTGAGATTTGTCATGTTCCGACAGGCAGTATTTCTTTTGTAACTTACTAGATGGTTCCCCTTTTTTTCTTACAATCTGTTCTTTGGGCTGATCAACGCCCCTTGCGTTGCTCTTAATAATTTGCCTGCATGACTGTACCCAGGTTACATCCCCACACGGGTACACTGAGAAGCTGTCCAACCTCACAGAAATCCCTCTGTCCTTTTCAGTGATTTTGACTAAATCGCCCCTAGTCAAATGCTCTTGTCCCTCTGCCTGCAACAGCCATTTACAATTGATTACTCACAGGGCATTTCTTTGGGCAAAGAGTCCATGTTCCTTTGGAACGGCTGTAAAGGTTCCTGGGGAAAAAGGCAGAGTGGTGCTGATCTTACCACCTAACCTCCTGTTTGCATGTTCTGACTACCAGGGTTCCACCGAGCGTGACTGTCCCCGAGCTGTACTGCTATAACTGGGTTTCATTATTAAACCAAGCGTTTAACCCGTTATCACGCTCAGGATGACTTCTTCCAGTTTTTTAACGTGTCCACAACCCCGGACTGTTTAGTTCCCCCTGAACTCTGAGGTGTGAATTTGTGCAAAAGCTACTTTGAACTCCGTGTGCTCGTTCTTTAAATCACTTATCTCCCAAAGTGACACACTCATCAGCTGATTTCTCTCCACGGCCCTGAGCTTAGTTTTGTGCTTTTTGCACTTATCCGTCAAGGATGGCGCACTTTGCTTGCAACGCCTTAGCCACCAAGTGCAACGCGGCTGCCTTAGGCTGGACTTTCTTTACCCTGGGTGGGTTAAGAAGGCAGTGTTAATATTTGTCTTCAAGGTCACCCACGGGTCTTATTCTTTAAAAGTTCAGTGGCACTCAACAGACCTCTGCCAAGAAGCTTTCCACACAGGTATCCAAAGTACCTTCCATCTCCCTTTTGCTATTGATTTGCTCGTTAGGAGAGAAATGATTGTGGCCCTGGCGGATAGGTCTCTATGCCTTCAGTCTGGGGCTTGAGAGCAACTGAAATGAATGCCAGTGGGGGTCCCTTCGTGGGTCCCCAGAACACTGGAATTATCGTCATTTAGGCAGGGTACTACCAGAACACTCATTTAATCATAAAGTCCTTGATTAAACCCAAAGGCCAAATGGCATTTATACAATTGCTCCACACAGGTCTAACAGTGTAAAAACAAGCCGTCACTACGCCCAGCACAGTAACAAAGTGTTCACAACCATGTGTTCAGTATACTTACAAACGGGCTGGACTTGGGGATGAGCATCTCAGCCTGCTATGCCCCGGTGTGATCAGGTCAGGCCTGACAAAGCACCTTCACATTCACAGCTCTCTTTAGACACCTCAGCTAACTTGCTAGCTTTAGCAAATCCCAGTTTGAACAGTTCAGCCTTGCTCCTTCCCTTCTGCCAAGGCCTCCTTTCTTATCTCCTCCTCCCCCCTTACCATCAGACCCATGGGAAGGTTTTCGCTTGTTTCTTTTAAGACAGTTTCTCTTTGTCTTATTACTGCAGCTTTTCACTTGAGCAGTCCAAACGGCTTTCCCACACTATAAGCAATATTACTTATTCTCATGACCTTCTTTTATGTGTTGACTGGGGCCTTTCCCGTACTAGCCACAAACCATAAAGCAGATATTATTTTCTTAACCAAACTTAAGCTGACTTTAATTAACTGTCCCTACAGGCAGAGACCAGGAGAGTCTGAGATGCCAGCAATGTCCGAGGTGTCTGTGGTGGCAGGAAGTGATTAGGTGAGACCTGCCTGGGTATCTTGACAGCTGACCCATGCTGCAGAGGAAGGTGAAAACCCCCAAAGTCCCTGCCACACTGACTTGGGAGAAATTCCTTCCTGACCCCAAATCTGGGGCTCAGTTAGACCCTCCACATGTAAGCAAGACCCACCAGCCAGGTATGTAAGACAGAGGATGCTTTGCACCACCTCACAACACTGGTCCATCCCCGCCAGTATCCCATCTCTCACCATGGCCAACCTTTGATGCTTCACAGGAAGGCAACCTGCCACGCCCCACCCCACAATTACAACTGCGTATCGAGGGGGCAATTCCTTCCTGACCCCTGGAGGTAACCAGCTGAAGCCTAAAGAATGCGATTTAGACATTGTCATCATACACAGCCACGAGTGTTATGAGCACGTTGAGGGATAGGGTGGCCACCCATCTAATGGTTGGTAGCTGGACCCCCCAAGGCCCTGCCCCCTGCTCTACCTCTTCCCTTAAGGCCCCCCCTCTGCTCCGCCTCTCAAGGCCCTGCCCCCTGCTCTACCCCTTCCCTCAAGGCTCCACCTCTGCTCCGCCTCTCCCCCCAAGGCCCTGCCCCCTGCTCTACCTCTTCTCTCAAGGCCCCCCCTCTGCTCCGCCTCTCCCCCCAAGGCCCTGCCCCCTGCTCTACCCCTTCCCTCAAGGCCCCGCCTCTGCTCCGCCTCTTCCCCCCAAGGCCCCACCCCCACTCTGCCTCTTCCTCCCCAGATCAGGGCTTGTCAAATGGTACTGGGATGCACAAACCAGAACCCAGACTGTCTGGGTGAAAACCGGATGAGTGGCCACCCTATCAGGAGGGCAGTCCTGGCAACCCCACTCTCCCCATGGCCTGTGAAGGAAGGGGGTGAACAGAGGGATTCACAGAGTCACAGATTCCCAGGCTGGACGGGACGTCCACGCCCATCCCGGCTTACCCACAACACGCACAAACAGCTGAATTTCTGCCAGAGGCTGGATTAAAGCCTATCTTTCCGGAAGGTCTCTAATCTCCTCGGAAAGGCCACCACCGCCCCAGCGAACGGTTCCAACGTCTAACCACCCCCACTGCCAAGAAACGGCTGCACCTTACTGCACGGCTGAGTTGGTCTGATTCCGGCTTCCAGCTGTTGGATCTTGTTCCGTCTTTCTCAGCAAGATTGAAACGCCGCCCAGTAGCTGTTCTCCCGTCCATGTGTCAGACACAGCAATCAAGTCACCGCGCGACGCTTCTCTTTGATCAGCTGATTCCGTTGAGCTCCTCTACCCTTACCTGGAACCGCTTGTTTTCAAGCCCCTGGATCATTTTTGTGTCCCCCCCTTTGAATTCTCTGCATTATTTCCTTGCAGTGGGAACCATGGAACATTGAAACAGAGAAGGAAAATGTCCTTCGCCCTGTCTTTGGTATCTCCTCCCACCTGAATTCCACCTTTCGGCGAGCGTCAATTTGATCACGCTGAATGTCACACCACTACTTAAACATTTATACCGAGTGAATGAATGGATTGTTCAACCCTAAGGAAGCACAGGGCCAGATTCCTTCCTGGGGTCACCCCGGGGGGGTGTTTTGGGCCTGACACCAGGGCCCTGCACATTTGGCTGGCTGGTTATCTGGCTGGTGTTTGCGTCTGTTGATACGTGGTTCAGGTTGTTTGCAATCGACGCTGCATTTCACAACTCACATTCCTGCTACCTGCTCCGTTCCTTTCTCAGCCAGCGCTGGACAGGGAGCAGGTCTGAATTGTGCACTGCGGAGGAGGGTTATCAGTCGTGGTGTGTGGTGCCCAGCTGCCTGTAGACAAAGGAGTATTTATGCAAGAGTCCGGGCAGGAGTCCTGCTAGCATTACCCACGCGCTGTCAGCAGGAGAGACGAGCAGAATCCAGCGTGGCTTGGGGAACTCTCATCCACAACGAAACACTGTCATTTCCCGTGGGGAGAACGCAGCCCTGTCATCAAAGGGTTTGACTTTATAAAGGCAGAGGAAATAAATCTCCCCTCCTCCTGGCTAGACATGCGTGACCCAGCACATGCTGCTAGCACCCTGACCGAGGGCTTTTCCTGTCATGTTCATAGGCTGTTAGGGCCTCCAAGGTGCTAACACAATGCCCATAAATACCAGGGGCGGAGGAACCGGGTGGGGGAGGGGGACTAGCACCCCACCATGGAAATATTGTGGGGGATCCATCCCCACATAAGCTCACGCATGTGGTGGGGGAGGGAGCAGATGCAAGAGCGGGACCTGGCAGGACTGGAGTAGCAGCAGCAGCACCTGGGATTGGGCCATGGAACCAGCAGGATCTACCAGGACCCCCGTTTCCAGCCTGGGGCCACCCCCCCCCACCCCCGCACTGCTCCCACTCCTATCCCTCCACCCCACCTCCCCCTTCACAGCAACCTTCCCCCCCAATCATAATAATAATCTCATTTGAGTTATAACAGGCCCACAGTGGCCTGCTTGAGGAAGAAGATCGCAGCCTTCTCTGGTCTTGTAGCTTTGTACTTAGGTAGCTTATGACTGGGCGTGGTCTCCCTTGAGACAGCTGGAGAATGGGATCTTCCCCAAGACGCTCACCAGCAGCCCCCAGCTCTGAGTCTGCTTTGATAGTTCAGAGAGAGAACCGAGCCGGAGCTATAGGGCAGGAGGAGTCAGGCTAATCAAGCACTAAGCTTAGCCATAGGGCAGGACAGATGACCGAGCTAGAGCACGCAGAAAGCCGCCGAGAGCTTCTTCCCGTCTGCCAGCTCAGAGCATCTCAGCTGTGGTGCCACGTTCCAGCATTTCTGCACAACCAGGGCTTTTTCCCTGTAGTCGAGGCCTGCTCTGTGAATCCACGTGTCAGATCTCAATTAGCCTCTGGGGATTAGCTAAATCCTTAATCCAGACTGGAGTGGTTGGTTCTTTGCGAAAAGGCCACTCATTAGCAGCAAAACAAAACACACGCCTCTTCTCCTGCCAATTTCAGCCCTGCCTGCAGACATACACGGAGACCTCTAGCTAATCTAATCTGCAGTCAGTGTTTATATCGCCTGCTCACTGGCGTGGTGTTTTCAGCGCCTCACAGAAATGGCAGGAAGGCAATAAACGGACTAAGACAGAGCTAAGAAGATACTGCAAAAAAGTATTTGCAAACATTTGCCTGAATTAAAACAACCCATCAGGTCCTGTGGTGTCTGTTGCCTGCTTTGATTCCCTTTTTACATTTGAAAGGGCTCTGTGGGTTTGGGAAACATCCAACCTAGGAGCAAAAACAATAACATGTGATCTAGCTGACCCATCACATAGTGTGAGATGTTCCACTCATTTTGCAATAGCAAATAGTTTGATGAAATACTTTTGCACTAACCGTTCACTGGGCAATTGCCTATAATGAGCCCATCTGTTAGAAACAAAGTCTTCTCTGTAGATTATCCATGAGCAAAGTGCTACAATCATCTACTAAATTGTTCCCCACGAATAATCCGAACACAGCTGATGTTTGACTTTCTCACTGTTTTCCACATGCACTTCTATGTAATTGTAAATAGTAACGTGTTTGCTCATGAGGGTATCCTGTAGGCAACAACTCTACACCTAATAAATTATTTCAGCTAGAGAGTCTGTGTTAAGAGTGCTTACCACTCAGTTTCCAAGAACTACACTACAACTAACCCCACAGCATTTCTCCAAGATCTAACTGCCTATACAATCATTTAAAAAGAATGTGTAACCCTATCGGCTACAGCGCCATCTGGTGTCTTTTCTCTCTTTTTGAATGCTGAGGAATATTCAGGTACCTGTGTCTCCCCGGGGAAGGGATGTTTCTTCCTCACTGTATGATGTGTACATCATCAGTCAACCTTAGTGATTCCCTGGTGAGCTCCTCTGAGGCCAGCCTCTTTGTGAATTGTCAGCTGGGTGGTGCCCCCGAGCGCCCATGTGCTCTCGCACCAGCAGCACAATATGGGCCTGGTTCTCCTCTCTCCAACACTGAGTCCAGATGGATTCCTCCTGGTTCACGGCGGTGAGATCGCAGGCAGGCCCAGCTGGGACGGAGAACATGTGCTGCATTGTGGTTTAGCAGATAAGAGCTCTGGCAGAATCAGAGCTGCACAGGATGCCCTGACCTGGGAGCTGCAGAAATAAACACGCCGTTTACAAGGGGCCTTTCGGAGCCTGCCACTGTCTTGCTGGGAATAGCATTAGTGGGTGGGCCTGGGTGGGCAGCCCCAGGGTTGGAGACCATAGGGGACCGGCTGGGGAAACAAAGGTTATTCCCCTTTCTCCCCACACTGACCCTAGCCCCCCAACAGGGCTGCTTCCTCCCCCTGTGGCCACCTCCCTCCCTTCCCACTCAGCACGGCTTTGCTGCGCTCAGTGGTGCCACGGGCCCCTGCCGGATGCAGCGTGGAACCCGCCCAAGTTTTTTCAGAGCCCATCAGCCAAGCAGAGCCTCATCTCGGGGCCATCCAGTACTGGCTGCGGTGTGCAGTGCACAGGGCAACCTGAACCGACACAAAAGACCAGAAGGAGAGAGAGGGCTAGGGTAGAAGGAGGTGGGCAAAGCGAGAGAGGCGGTGCCCTGTCTATACTAGGCCCATGTTCCCTCCTTCCAGGACCCCAGTAACTTCTGCTGGCTCCTGGAGGGCGAGAGAGAGGGCTCAAGGGCTTTGAAACCTGCTTTGGGACCAGCTGAGGCTAATGCCGTTTAACCAGTGACTGGCGGCAGCACAGGGGGTGGGCGGTGACACCAGGGAAAAAGTGGGCTTAGAATCGGATTCAAGCTGATTTGGATCAAGGGCCAGCAAAGGGTGGGTGGGGAAGGGACAGACAGACAGAGAAGGGGAGAGAC